TTAAGTGTTCTACATAGCTGGTAAATCAGATCTAAGACCCAGTTACTCTGGCAACGTATCGTCTTGTGACCTTGTACATGTCTTTGCTTTCATTTCTTCCAACATTTTGGTAACTTCCTTAAAGGTAAGGAGGAGAGATTACCCCAAATGATAGCTTTCTCAACACTTTTGGTTGAGAATAGGCTTAACATTTATTTCCTTAAAAATTATAATTATAGCAATGTGAATGCACTCTCTGAGCAAGAAGAAATGAAGCCAAATTTTGTAACAACTACACAAAAGCAACCTTCAACATAATGCCAACCTCCCCACACATGCACAACATATATACACACACACTCTACGAAACACCATTCTAGGAAACCCTCCTGGGAGGGAAACACTAAACCTACCCACACACACATACACAAGGTGGTGGTCTTAAGTGTCACAAACCTGGTGGGTCATTTCAGAAGAATATCTTGAAATCTCTCTTAATACACACATTGGGAGAAATGTGTTAATTTTTCTCATTGAGAAAATGAAAACCAAACACTTCCTGAACCCTCTTGCCTCCGCGGTTCCTCAGGAGAGGGTCTACGCTCACCCTCTTTGGGGCATCGACTCCAACTCTCCCTTGAACCTGTTTGATTTGGGCTTTTGTCTCCACCACTTCACTAAAAAACCTCTTGTCGAGCTCACTAATAACTTCCTCGTTGCTAAATCCAATGATCAATTTTTAGCTCACATATTACCTAACCCATTAGCAGCATTTGACAAGGCTGGTTATCCTTGCTTCTCAAAACGCTTTCTCCTCTTGGTGATTAGAATACCCCAGTGTCTACCTTCTTCTGTTCCTCAGGCTCTCGTGTTGAGACTCCGGTTGTTGCAGTGGTCCCTGGCTCAGGTCCTAGACCTCTCCCTCCTTCTTTCCTTTTTTTTAAATTACTGAAACTGAAGTACAAAGATGCAGCTTCTAGACTTGGCTCTGCTGTGACACAGGCATGTGACCTTGTGCAAGTCATTTCATCTCCCTGAACTTCATTTTATTCATCTCTAGAGTGGAGGAGGCAGGCTCAGAGCTTCTCCAAGGTAAATTCCAGCCCTCAGACTCAACAGCCCTATTTAAAAAGTGCTAATTTCCAAAGAACTGATTTGATTATTAGGTAACATTTCTCAAAGTTATCGTGTTTCCCCTACGAGCTTTGATTGATTGTTTTCTATTCTTATCAAAGTCAAACATCTATGGAGTGTGTAGACTCAAACACTCAGCAAGGCTTATGAAAAATGGCAGCCCACCCTCCTCACATCTGTCCCTCTTCAGGGGTGCTTTTAAAAAACACTTTGAACCTGCAGAGAAGTTGAAAGTATTCGGGTATTCATGTCTGAATAGTCCTTGTCTAAAGGCCTACGGCTGACATTTTAACATAGTCCTGGTTTCTTCTCTACTTCCTTTGTGCCAGACCATCCAAAAGGCGGAGAGAGATGTAGGACACTTCACTCCTGAATACTTCAGTGTGCAGCTTCCAGGGATAAGAGCATCTCCCACGTAGCTACAGAATCACTGCCACACAGGAGAAAACAGACGCTAATTCAACAACACGGGTCCAGTGGGCCTCTCTGAGCATGGATGGTGCTCCTGAACTACCCTCCGCTCCCTCTCCTCTTTTCCAACTGTTCTCACTCCCTTGGTGGCCTCAACTCTTCTTAGGGCTTTAAAATAATGGTAATTGCTTATGATTTCAAATTTGCCTCTTCAGCCCTGACCTCTCACTGAACTCCAGATCCTGCCTACTTAACCTTTCCACTTAGATGTCTAAGGAGGCATCTCAAACTTAATGTGTCCCAGACTGAGCAGCCCCCTCCCCGTCAATCTGTTCGTCCATTCTTCAGCTGTTCAAGCTGCAAACAGCGTCATCCTTGACACGTCTCTTTCTCTCATTCCATATCCAGTTCCACAGTAACGGGTGACTAGAATTCCCTCCCTTCTCATCACTTCCTTCATTTATGGGATCAGGCATCACCATCTCCCATGTGGGTCACTGTAGTAGCCCCAGGGCTCTTGGCTTCCGCCCGTGCAAATGCTCCCACCCTCACCCCAGAGGAGTCCAGTCAAAACAGCTTCCACAGAAAGATCCGGTCACTTCTCTTCTCAAAACCCACTCAAAGCCAAAAGTCCTTGCAAATGCTCACCTGCTGTGCCCATGTGTTACCTTTTATCTCCTCTCCCCCTCACTCACTCCACTCCAAACCATCACCACACCTCCTTCTACCACTCGAACAAGCCAAGCACACTCCGTGTTTCTACTCCCTGTGCCTGGAACAGTCTTCCCCCAGACCTCTACAAGGTCTCTCTCTCACCTTCCTCAGTGAGGCTTTCCTTGAACACCCTACATTGTTTCCAAATCGCTTATGGCTTTCTAATAGACTGTATTTTTTATCTTATTTATTTGTTTTTAGTCTGTCTGTTTTTAGTCTCCACTAGAATATTAACTCCACGAAAGCTGAACATTTTATTTTTTTTTTAAGAAGGGCAACGGGAGTTACAACCACGCCCAGCATGGAGCCCAGCGCGGGGCTTGAACTCATGATGCCGAGATCGAGACCTGAGCTGAAATCGAGTCGGACACTATAATGAATGAGCTACCCAGGTGCCCCAGGATATTTTATTTTGTTCCCTACTGTACGGCCAGTGCCTAGAATACTGTCTGGCACATGGCAGGTACTAGGAAATATCTGATGAATCAAGGAAGCCTATCCTTAAAATAATACAGATTTATATTAATTGATCCATACACACACCAGAAGGTTCAAGCCTACAGAATGCTGAGTAATGGATAACTAAGAATGTTGATCACATATGACTACTTCTGCCCATTGGAAATATAATGTAATCCACAAGTAATTTAGAATTTTCCAGCAGTCACATAAAAATGTGAAAGAAAACAAGTGAAAATTTTTAAGTGATTTATTTAACCTAATATATCCAAAATATTGTCATTTCAACATGTGATTCATACAAAAATAATTATTATT